TTCAGTGCACTGCGAAAGTCTGCTTTTGCTTTCCAGCACCCTCCTGCAAGTTCATTCTGGGCTCCGGGGCTTTCGCACGTTCACGTTGTGAATCTAGCCGTGGTTCGGAAAATGCTCCAGGCTTCAGCCTCCCTACATCAGCCTTTGCTGGCCAAACCCCCCCTCCAGCCCCTCGCTGCAGAGGGGGGTTTCCTGCTGGCTCTGCCTTCAGCCTCGCATCCCGCTCCCCATCCATGGCCCCTGGCCCCTTGGCTCAGGGCTGTCTCCCTCCCCTGCTCCCCTCACCCAGCCCATTGAGTGCGGTCCCAGCGTGCCACAGGTTTTTGGGCCCCAAATCTATGAGCAGCTGGGGCTGCAGCTGCTTTGGGAGCAGGAATAAGTCAGGAGGAGCTGAGATTTTTCTACATGCACCCCCAGAGCTGGATCAGAGCCTGAGCAGAAAGGGCACAAGCTATAAGTGACCCAGCCGGGGGTGCCCTGCTTCCCCACCTTGGGACAAAGCGTTGCCTGCATGTTCGGGCATCCCTGCACCAAGCACACCCTCACCTGTCACTGCCCCACACAAAGGGCAAGGCAATGAGGCAAGCCTGGCCCTAGATGCCACCTTCAGCCTACACAGCTCCTGGCCAGCACAGAAATAGAGCCAGCACTTAAATCCCAGGCACTGCTGAAAAGTGCGGCCAGTGATGGTCCCTGGTTATTTGCTTCTCTTGTCCTTGACAGGGGGAATAAAGAGGGACAAGCCCTGATGCTGCTGTCTTCCCCATACAGGAGGACTCAGACCTGGCTCCTTCTCCCACGCACCATGGCCCAGGCACCTGGTATGTCCCCATGGGGTTACCATGGGCTCTGGGTGACTGGATTCATCCAAGCATTGCTGCAGCATCTCCCACTTGTAAGTTAGGGAGAGGCCCCATCTCCAGATGGAGATCCATGGCCAGATATGAAATCCAGCCACAGATCTGATCAGGGAAAGCTCCAGCCATGGTGCAACACAATGCAGCACCTGGAAGCCATGGGCTGGTCAGCTTAAAAAGATGGAACTCAAACCTGGCAGATAGTTAAACCTCTTGCTTAATGAGACTGTTGAATGTGCTAATAAATAGCAGCAGCTATGACTGAGGGATGGAAGACCTACCCTTAACAAGGAGCTGTGTTCAATCACACCTTGATTCAATCAGTGTGACCCACCAGCTGCACCCATGGCTTGCAGCTCCAGTTGCTGGGAGCAGATTTAGGGGGAAAAGGGTGGTCGCAGCCCTGCATGGCCTGACACTGGAGTAAATCGCTTCCTTTCCCTGCCTGTGCTGGCTAGTTACCCCTCTCTTCATTTGCCCTGAGCTCAGTGAAGCTCCTGAAATTTGGCTTTAAAGGCTCAGCAAACCCCAAGCACCAAATCCCCCTCTTCCCTCCCTGGTGGGATGCTCTCCATCACCATTTCCCTCATTCCATGCTGGTCCCACTGAAGCCAGGAGTCTGTGGATGCTCTGGGTAAACCCACAGTCATGGCATCCCTCCAGAGCTCTGTCATTGGGATGTGTTCCTGATGGCAGAACCGTAACAGCTGGGTTGAGGTGCCCCCCTACTCCTGGCCCCACTAACCCCACCCCAGGCCCCAGGCTGATCTCCTGAATCACTCCAGGGGGATCTGGGACTTATGTCAGATGAGATGAAGAGAAAAACCCACCCTGGAAAAAGGGTCTGTGCCAAGCGACTTAATGCACTTCGTATCAGGGAGGGCTGCCCGGGACAGGAGTGCAGGTTATATCATAGCAGAAGCAAGTGTCACTGGGAGATGCTGGGGCAGTGGTGCTGCCAGCACACTGCCTGGGGCCATGGGGGTCTCATTCTGGTAATAAACTAAGTCACCTTCATTTCACCTCAAACACATTGCTGCTCCTCTCTTGCTGTTTGGAGCAGCCTGACACAGCTGGGATCCACCAGCCCACCCCAAGCCTGTGCAGCTCTTGAGGGGTTCTCAGCCACATCCCAAGAGCCTGCTGAGGGGACAAGGTCCCTCCCAGCTTCGTGCCAGGCAGAACCCGCACTGGGAAAGAGCCAGGCTCAGGTTTCTCCAAGCTTTTCCAGAGCAAATTCCTCCCAAGAACAAACCCGTCAGCAAATTCTTAGGGAAACGGTTGCAGCTGCGTGCAGGAGGGATGGGGGGCTCTCAGCCAGCCCCGAGGAGCAGTGGTTGGGTGGCAAGGGATGCTCCAGCCCCTAGGCTGCCATGGTGTCCCCAACCACAGCCTGCCGGGCCCCTTCTCCCGCAAGAGCCAGGGTCTGGCAGGACCGGATGCTTCCCTTCTCCTTCCCTGCTGGGATTTTTCCAGCGGCCTCATCCAAGAACAGCTCGTATAACCTGGGATCGGGAACCAAACAAGCAGGGGCTGCATTCCCAGGGATGCCCCCTCTCTGCCTGGTCGCCGGCTGACATGGCTGTGTTAACTTTGACACCTCGGTTCCCACCGCCCTGCGACATGCCGGGCTCCCCCCACATCCCTGACCCGCAGCAAACGGGAGCACCTCCTAAACGTCCCTGCCTGCCCCCCTCACTGCCTGCGGGGCTGACTCGGCAGAGAGGAGAGGGCAGGAGGTGCGGGCAGGATGTGCGGGCAGGATGTGCAGGCATGCGGTGCAGGCAGCAGGCTGCGGGGTCTCTGCTGCCACCTCCAGGGCACTGCTGGCCTCGTCGCTGTCCCCTTGCCGTGACACTGACCTGGAGCAACGCACGGCCACATCAGCCCCAACTTCCTTTTATCTCCCTGCACCCTAAACCAATCCGCCCCCCCCCTCAATGAACCCATCTTGGAAGCCCCCACCGCAGTGTAGTGTCCTGAAGGGCTTAGGGGCTCTCTGCTCAGCCTGCATAGGATGAGCATAGCATGATGCATAGGATGCATACCCCCCAGGTGGGGCATTTGCTCCAGAGGATGATGCCAGTTCAGTGCTACACTGTCCCCTTCTCCACAACCCTTTTCTCACCCTCCTCTAGCGTCAGCGGGGCTGGGACACAGCCAGGGAAGGTGACCCACAGCCAGTGCCCCAGCACCCGCTGCCACCGAGGATGGGAGCTGGGGAGGGGGAGCCTGCCTACCCCTCCTGTAAGAGGCTACCCATTTCCAGGCGTCATTAAAGAGCAATTAGCTGGAAATTAAGCTGAGAACAAGTATTGATTAGCTCATTAAGGCTGGGGGAGCCGGCTGCGGCGGTAGGAATTGCTGCCGCTCGCCCTCATTATGGGCAAGGTTAAAGCTTGCGGTCAGGCAGCTCATTAAAAATGCCAGGACCAATCGATGTCCCCAGCCCAGCGCTGCCCAGCACCTCTGGGGACACCCAGCTGCTGCCTTCTGGGGACTGGCCCATGACCTCTGGGATGTGCCAGCTCAGGAAGGGACTGAGCATCCATGCTAATGGGCTCCCCCACAGAGGCAGCCGTATTGCCCTTAGGCTTGTCAGCCCCCCAAAACTCTCTGGCCAAGGGGTCATCTTCCTCTCTCTACCAGAGCTGAGTTTGTCAGGTCTCAGCTTAGCAGTGCCAGCCTGTGTGGGTTGGAGACAGACCAAAGGAGATCCCAGGGATGGGATGAAGCAGCTGGGGACATGGCCACAGACGGTGTCTCTGTTTGGCTGAGTGATGCCATGCCACCCTGCTATGCACCCCAGTCCCACAATAGTGGGAGCTACTGGGGTGAGCCCAGGTTCTGCCACTCTGAGCCTCTGTGTCTCCAGTCCAGAGTCTCTGTTCCATCCAGAGTCCTTCCCATCCCCATCTCTGCCTCGACCATGAGCCAGGGCCAGCTCCCAGCCGGTGCATGTATGGAGGATGTCCCTGCACAGGCTGGTGGTGCGGGGGGAGGCAGGTGTCATCATTATTTTTGTTTTCTTTGCACTGCCATGGATATATATTGTATTCTCAGCTAATCCCGTTCAATTACACCACAATAAAACACATAATAAAAACGTAATTCATTTTTCCCGAGCGCTCCATCTCCCTGTGTCTTGGCAAGCTATTAAAAATTTGTCTTCATTTTTCTGGCAAGAGCCTTGTACCTTTTCATCTTTAATTTATGAGAGCAGAATAGCTACTGACAAGCCCTTATTGCGTGGCGAGGGGCTGCATTATTTATAAGCCGCCAATGGCTGGCTCAGGGGAGATACTTGCAATATGCTGGGGCTGGCAGGAGGCGGGGGACAGATCCCTGATGTGCTTGTCCCAGTCCTCTCCCCCACCCTGGGTGGGTGCTGGGTGCAAATGTTCTCCTGGGGGAGCACCCACAGCCCCTGCCCATTGGGAAGCTGCGGCACAGGGTGACTCTAGGCTGCTGGTCCCCTTATGTCACCCAGCTGCTGCATCTGTCCATCTTGGGCTTTGCAGCGACTCTTCCTCCTCCATCCTTCGGCACAGGGGTCATCGGAGCATGGCTGCCTCCATCCCTCCTCTCCCTGCGTGGACATCCATCTCTCCCGACTACCCTGGCTAGGATAGTCAGGACGTGGCAAGCCTGACCCAGGTTTGCCAGGGTGCCACAACAACAGCAATGTGCTCTCTGACAGCCATGCATAGAAAGCTGGATAAAAATAACCCCGCTGGAGAGACAGGCACAGGCCCGAGGCCAGGGTTGAAGCTGAGTGTCCTGTGAGCAGGCTGAGAGAAGGGGCGGGAGCACGGGCAGAGCCAGGGGGATGCTCTGCACTCTCCAAATCAGCAGCACGCAGGGCAGCAGCTCAGCAGAGCCCTCTGTGCAGCAGCGAGGTACAAAGCTGACTGTGCTAAAAAAAGCCCTCCTGACAGCTGGATAAGCTTAAGCACACACCAAGCCTGCCCAAGCTGCTGCAAAAGCAGCAGGGTGGAAAACAGGGAGCAGAGCCCAGCCCCAGGGAGAACAGGGGCACCCTGGCAGCCCTCCTTCCCTTCCCTCCTGCTCCCATCCTCATCCCAACAGCAGCCCCTTTTCCACCACGTACAAACTGGCAAGCACCATGCTTCTCTTTGCCTCTGGTTTTGTATGAACAATCTGCCTTTATTATTTGGTACATATAGGTATATGATATGTATATAAAAAATAACTAGAGGAAACCACAGTGCACTTAAAGCTATTTGAGAAGGTCCACCTGAAAGCAAAGCACTCCAGGAACAGGTAGGGTGGCCCCTCCGGGGGAGCCCAGCCCTGAACAGAGATGGCATTAAAATGAGAATAAAAAGAGGGACTTTCTGCTGGGATTAAAATGTGCCATTTGTTCTGGGGATGGAAGGAGCAGAAATCCAGATTAAATCCCTGGAGCAGCCAGGAAGAGAGCAGAGGGTGAGCTGAGAGCACAAAGGGGTTTGAGCCACTGCGTGCACTCGAAATCACTCACCCACGGCTATTTTGGGAATAGGGAGCTTTCCTCTCCCAACACTGCTCTGCCATTCCCCAGGCATCAGCTGCTGAACCGCTGGGCAATGCGGGGTGCCTGCAGAAGGATTCAGCCCCCAATGGCTGTAATTGTCTGCTGCCTCCTAAAGCTGGGGAGCACCTTTTTCTTCTCCACTCCACATCCCTGCTTACAAGGTGCAGCTGCCTATGTTACCCCATGTACCACACAGAGCTATGGGCATACACAGGGTGAGCATGGGAGCAGCACACCAGGGTGACAACCAGGAGATCTCCAAAGCAGCGCTAAGCCTGGCTATGGGAATAGGGTTCAGTCCAGTGCTGTGGGCACCCCAGGAAGCAGGGACCTATGGACACGCGATGGACAAGGGAAAGCAGCTTTGGCCCCAAAGGGATCTGAAGGGTGAAGCTCAGCAATGCCCTGGCCTGGCAGCTCCATGGCACATCTCAGACACCCTGGGACCCTGGTTCAGAGCCCTTTGTTGAAATAGACGGTCTCCAGCTGTGGGTCTTTCTCCCGTATCTGAGCTTGGACTTCAGGCTCCAGGCGACTCACTGGCATCGAGCTGCCAAAAAGACATGGATACAGAGGACTGAGGGGGGATATCCATCAGTGGCCTCAAACTGGGGAGCTGCAGCACCCCATGGGGACATTCCCATGGCCCAGCACAGACCTTTGGGTCTGCACCACTGTGTGCACAGGGACATGTGTGGACACGGTTTCAAGCCTCCGACTGCTCAAAGGAGCAAAAACATCTCTTGGGAGTCAGAGAGCACAAGGAGATCACAAACCCTCTGCCCGCACCCCATGCCCTGCCCCATGGGAGCCACACACACAGGCAAGGTGCTGACCTTACCTTTTCTGAGGGAACAGTGCACAGCACAGGGGGGTCGCGAACACCAAGCTGCAAGGGAAACACACCGAGAGAAGAGGGGCTGTGTAAATCACCTGCAAAGCCTGTCCCCATCAGTGTGGGAGAACAGCAATACTGAGCAGGAGCCCATGGCAGGCTTGAGAGACACTGAGATGGAGCAAAACAGCTCTCAGCCCTCGGACCTTGTATCCCATCCCATCTGTCTCAGGGGCACCACCTTGGCATTTCCCTGAGGAGCTTCGTGGTGGCTCTCACCTCCCTTGCCAAGCAGCACTGCCCCCAAAACCATGCTCAGTCTATGGGCAGCAATGCCCATCAGCAGAGGATGACTTACCAGAATCCCACCAGGCCAACCTGCAGCGGAGCGTTCAGGTACGGGTACCGCTGCCAGGGACAGGGAGAGGCTGTGTCAGTGGGGTGGACAGGGTGCCAGCACTGCGACAAGCCAGGGGTGCCCCCTGCCCACCCTCCCGTCCCAGGGCCACCGGGTACCTTCAGGAAAGCTCTCTTCTCCAGCGCGTTCATGATCACCGGGGGGATGGCTGAGGCAGAGGGGAAGAAGATGAGCTCCAGTGCTCAAAGCCTTCCCATGCTGCCAGGGGCTGGTTGCAGCTTCCAGACACAGGTAGAGAGAGGGCACTCACCCATGGCCGGGGCTGCCATGCCGACCCGGGACACCACCACCTGGAAAATGGCCTTCTGGGCTGCGGCCGTGGACTCGCCCAGGCGGTTCCCGTTCTCATCCGTGACTGGGATCCCCAGCTTGAGCTCCCTGCAGGGACAGAGGGATTGAGTGAAGCCCAGTGTACATGGGTGGGGGATCAAGGGACAGGGCAGGGATGCAGCACGTCTCCAAGGAGAGGTTGACATCCTCTTGTATTCCCCATTCCCTGCCTGCATAGGAAGCAGGGAGGGCCTCAGCTGATCCCACATTCCCACTTGAGGGGTCCTCAACAGGGCTGGATGGGGATGGGGAATTCACAGCCAGCTCAGCCAATAACCCCTTGCGATGCAACTGACTGCTTCCATCCTCAAACCAATGCCCCAAGGTGAGGGATGCCAGCAGGAACAGAAAGATGGGGTGCCCCTGCAAGCTCAGGGCACTGCTTCCCACATCCTCCACCAGTGCCTGGTGAACCCCAATGTGAGCCCAAGCACCCCATCCCAGCCCAGGGGCTCACCTCTGCCTCATCAGTGGGATGTTGATGCAGTTGGCAGCAGCCACAGCTGCAAAAGGCACGTACCGCCCGATGATGGCTGGCAAGTGCTGGGGGGGGCAAACAGGGAGCATGTCACATATGCTGGTCTGGGGGCAGAGCTGGCTGTCCCCAGGTCTGCCACCATCCCCCTGCAAGACCAGTGGAGAAAACCGTTCCCTCCTCCCCTGCAAGTCCCAGATGGTGAAAGCTGCACAGCTCAGGGGTTCCAGGATGTCCCATGTCCCCTCCCAGCCCTGGAGGGAAGCCAAGCGATGAAAGAAGCCTGCAGAGACCCCACTGGGGATGAAGAGGGGTTGGAGGAACAGGCCACCTCCAGAGTCATTGCTGAGATGGGCTCCCTTGTGTGGATGCCCCCAGGAAACACCTTTCCTACATATTCTCCCCTGCCCCATGTGCTGGAGTGAATCCCTGCTCAGCTCAGAGCTCAGAGAGACCCCACAGGGAGGGTCCCAGTGCCCCAGCCAGGGATGGCCAAGGGCCACCTTACCTTGGTGAGGGATTTGAGCCCCAGCGCTGTGACAACTGCCCCCGTGGTCGCACTCACATAGGCTGTCCCCAGCTGGCTGCAAGAGCAGGAGGTGACACTGACGAGCCAGGGTCCCCACATCCCAGGTATAACCCCCCCCCACAGAGGAAGGGACAGCATGCCCTTCAACAGCATCTGTACACCACTAACCCTGGCAGCCCCAGTGGTGTCCATCTCTGGCTGTGCCAGGTCCCCATCATCCCATCTCACAACTCCCCACCATTCAAGAAGCTATTCAAGAAGCTATGTCATTTTGGGGTGCCCCAAGGCACTGCTCAGAGAGATGCTTACCTGGGGGTGATGGGTGCATCCCCACTGCGGTTGGTGTAATTGACAACAGCATTGAAGGACTGGTTGACCCACTGCCAGAACAGCACGGCCGGCGTGGTTCTACCAGAGAGAGGAGGGTGCTGGTGGCACTGGAGGATACCACCCATGCTCCTACAGCATGGATGTGCTGTGGGGTAGGGGATGTGTGTCCCCATCTCACCCCAGGGCTAGGGGTGGGGGGAACCCCTCCACCCTACCTGTAGAAGGTCAACATGCATCCAGTAATGGTCATGTTCATGGGGACCTGGGCAGACATGCGTCCCACGAGGAGCATCTTCTCGCCCGTGTCCGGGTGGAAAGCTGAGTCGTAGATGTACTTTGCCTTCCAAAGCTGGTCCTCTGTCAGCCCTGGGGGTATCCTGCCCGCCCTGCCAGGTAAGGGTAGCACCTGTTGGGAGACGCTCTGCCAGCACCCATGTCCTGCCTGCCTTCCTGCCCCAGGTGGGGCAGCTGGGAGATGCCTTAGGGACCAGTCAGGCAACCTGGGGAGCTGGCTTTGGAAAGGGCAGGACAGCACCACTCCCGTTCCCACCCCGAGGAACAGCCCCAGGGCTGTATTCTTTCAAGGAGCCTGGGAGTGGTGTGGGGGGTACGCGTGGGTCATAGCCCCCATTTGGTACCTGTAGTCCTCCACCACCCGGCGGGCCTCCTCCAGCGTGGCCCCCGAGAGCAGCAGGTTTCGGGGGTCGGTCACCATGAAGAAGTGCTTGGCCCGGCCCTGGAAGGTGCTCTGGTCCCAGCGGGGCTCACGGATGTTGATGGTGGCAGGCAAGGACGGTGACATCTGGGGGTGGGAGGGGCAGCGCTTATGTGGGACGTGGTGCCCATGTGTGTTCCCCCAGTGCATTCCTACCGTAGCTCCGCCAACCCGCGGGGACACGGGGCAGGGAATGGAGACCCGCTTTGCAGTGGGAACCGCCCCCAGCACCCGGAGCAGCTCGTTGGTGCGGTGACCCCATCATGCACCGCCCTCACCCTGCAACCCGGCAGTGGGGACCCCCCCAGCTCCGCGCACACCACCCAGCCCGGGACTCCCCCACTCCACCAGGGCCCCCGGGCCACGGGTGAGGGACGGGGACCCACCGCTGCCAGTCGCGGGGGCGCTCGGAAGGGCTCGGGAAGGAGAAGCACCCCCACAGAAGGCACCAAACACCGCTCGGCCCCATTTCCACGCCCTTCCCCGCGACAAGCGGGGCTCTGCTCCCACCCCCCCGGCCGAGCATCCCTCCCTTCACGCACCCCCCCCCCCAACAGAGCGACCCGGGCCAGGGACCCCCCCCCCCCATAACCACTCACGGCTTTCCGGGAGGCGCCCGCCGTGCCCGCGCCGCCGCCGCCCCGCTCCCGCCCGGCGCGCTGACGTCCGCACCCGTCACGGGATGGGGAGGGCGGCCCCGCGGCGGGGATCGGCGGGGGTTACGCTGGACCGGGGCAGCCGCGGGATGGGTGGGGGGGAACCGGTACGTGCCCGGGCACACGCGGCATCTGCCCCCCCCCGCAGCTCCCCAGTGCCGGTGTACCCCGGGGGGGGGCCGTGGGGAGGGACCTGTCCCCGTAGGTTGGAGGGGGGGGCTCCCCCCGTCCCGGTCCCCGCCTCCCCTCCTCCTGCCACAGCGCATCACCTGAAACCGCCGCGGTGTCGGGTTCGCGCCGGCGGCGCCGGGCCCGGGTGGGGGGTCAAGGGCAGCCCAGGGTGGGCGCGATGACCCCCGGAGAGGGGGGCACGGGGGGACATCGGCTTGAGTAGCGGGGGTGAGCAGGAGGGGCGACCCGTCGTGTATGTGTGTCCCCTCCCCGGCTGTGCCTCAGTTTTTCCCCGTGTGCCTCGGGATGCAGAAGGGTCTCGGGGGGGCACCGCGTCCTGCGCCCCACAACAGCATCGCGGGGGATGCACCTCCGGACCTCCCCACGTCGTCCCCGCTGGGGGAGACACGCACGGGGCTCCCCCGCCCCGTTGCGAGGCCAGCCCTTGCCGCCCTTGATTGACAGCTCCCGCTCCCGATGGCCGCACCGGTCCCGCAGGGACAGCCAATCCCGGCGGGCGGGGGGCGGGAAGCCGTGCTGTCTCCCCCCCCCGTCCTCTCCGTTCCCCCCGCCGGCAGGTGTCTCTTTCACCGGTGGCACCATGGGGACAGGTGAGGAGGGCACGGGGCGGGGGGACAGGCGGCCGTGGCGGGGTCCGCAGCCCCTCTCCGGGGAGGGTCAGTGCCGGATGGTGCTGGGGAAAGGGGACAGCGGCGGGGTCGCCTTCGGGGGCTGGCAGGCGGCGGGGACACCGACGTATCCCCCTGGCCGGGCCATCACTTATTTATTGAGGTCAGGCTGGGGCGAGCAGGGGACGGAGCGGGGAGGACGGTGGAGGGGCCGTGGTGGAGTTTCTTCCACCCCACGCCTGGAAAATCCCCTCGGGAGCAGCATCCCCTTCCCCGCGGCAGCTCAGGGATGCGATTCCCCCTCCCCTGCTCCTGCTGCAACCCCTCCGCAGGGAGGGCGGTCCTTGCCCCATCGATGGCGGTACCCAGGAGCCCTGCAGCAGGGTCCTGGGGCGGGAGAGGACAAGGCTGGAGAGGGGGTCACGAAGCTCCTTGTCTCCCCAGGCTGTGCCGCTGCTCCCGGGACAGGTCCTGCCAGCTCCGGGCACCCACGCCAGCCGTCCCCGCTGTCGCGCTGCTAGGAGGGAGCAGTCCCGAGCCCGGGCATGTGCTGCTGGAATATGCCATGTCCCTCCCCGGCCGGCGGGCAGCCCCAGCCCCGTGAGGACACAGCCAGCCCCGAGCCGAACACCGGGACACCGGGGTGCCCAGCGCCGCCATGGCCCAGGGCTGGGATGCGGAACTGTCGGGGATGACGGCAGGCAGCCTGTCATGGAGCTCCAGCAGCGAGGCCAGCCTGGCGCCCCGCTACCTCCTTAGCAAGCAGAGCCGCCTGCTCAACGGGACCAGCCGGGGCAGCCGCACCGCCTCCCCCATGGGCCGTGTCATCCTCATCAACACCCCCATCGAAGGTGAGGCAGGTATCCAAGCCCTCTGCCCACTGTATGGCCAGAGGGTCTGGACGCCTGGGGTCCTGGGTCTGTGGGCAGGGAAAGGTGACCTGGGATTGGGGACACCCCCAGCAAGAGAAACCCCCTCCTGCTGCTGCTTGGGTGACCCATCCTGTCCCCACAGCCAGCAGCAATGAGAGCGACATCATCAACGCCATCACGGTGGAGAAGAGTGTGGATGGGAAGCTCGGCTTCAGCGTGCGGGGTGGCTCCGAGCACGGGCTGGGCATCTTTGTCAGCAAAGTGGAGGAGGGCAGCGCTGCTGGTAAGCAGGACAGGGTGAGGGGCACCAGTGGGGACAGGTATGTGCCAGCAGGACCCTCCTAGGGAGCTCCCAGGGACATGGTGCCACAGCAGTGATGCCACCCTTCACAGTGACAAGCCACTGTTTAGCCCTGCTGCCCCTGCCCATGGGATTTTCAGGCTTCCCACAGGGAACAGGACAGGAGAGAGCAGCACCATACTGATGGCTTTGAACTCCATCCCTGAGCCACAGCAAGGTGATAGTCCCTCATGCCTACCATGGCCTCAGTGTAATTGACAGGCATCCCCAACTCTGTTCTCTTGGGGTCCGGATCAGGTTTGGGACACATTTAGGGAGAGAACACCAAACAGGGGCATCTGCGTGGGGTCAGGTGCCCAGCTGAGCTGTGTGTCCCTCACAGAGCAGGCTGGGCTGTGCGTTGGTGACAAGATCACAGAGGTGAACAGCGTGAGCCTGGAGAACATCACCATGAGCAGTGCCGTCAAGGTCCTTACTGGCAACAACCGCCTCCGTATGGTGGTCCGGCGGATGGGCCGTGTGCCAGGCATCAAGTTCTCCAAGGAGAAGACGGCGTGGTGAGTAAGGCATCCCCCATGCCAGCAATCCAAAGCCCAGCCCCATGGAGGGCATCATGGGGAGGCTTGATGGTGGGGGACAGGGAGGATCACAGAGCTGGGGGACCCTCAGGGTGGGAGGGCATTGAAAGTATCTGACAAAGGTGGAGATAGCCCAGGGTGAGGGACAGGATGGGATAGAAAGGTCTGGAGCAGGCAGGGGAGGTGCAAGCCCCATCCTTAACATCACCCTCCTCCACTGGGTGATACCAATGCACCCATCCTGCTGGAGGACAAGAGCCTGTCCCCTGAGCTCCCACACAACACTGTGCCCATGCTCCAGGGTGGATGTGGTGAACAGGCGCCTGGTGGTGGAGAAAAGTGGCTCAACTCCATCGGAGAGTGGCTCCGAGGACGGGCTGCGGCGCATCGTCCACCTCTACACCACCTCCGATGACTACTGCCTGGGCTTCAACATCCGCGGGGGCAGGGAATTCGGCCTCGGCATCTACGTCTCCAAGTACGGCCACCCTGGAGGGCACAAGGGGGATGTGGTGCTCTGTTCCCCACTGTACCCATCCTGGGGCTCTGCCCCCCTCCCTGGCTACCACAGCCATCCTCGTAGGACTGTGGGTATCACCTCCGTGGGTGTTGAAGCATGGAGCCTGGAGGTGTGGGACAGGAGCGGGGCTCCTGTGAGGGCTTGGACCCATCCTGTCCCCCCTTCACTGCCCTAGGGTGGACCCTGGGGGGCTTGCAGAGCAGAATGGCATTCGGGTGGGAGACCAAGTCCTTGCAGCCAATGGAGTCAAGTTTGAAGACATAAGCCATAGCAAGGCAGTGGAGGTGCTCAAGGGGCAGACCCACATCATGCTAACCATCAAGGTACCTCTGCCTGGCCCCATGGGACCCCCAGGTGAGGTGGGGGGTTGGTGTGTCCCCATGCTGGCACGGCCCCAGCTCAGCCAGGCGCCTGTGGGGCTGGTGTGGCTGCCAGCTGGTTGGGTTTCAGGCGGGTGGGAAGGCAGGGGGATGCATTATTCATGGCTGGCACCAGATCGGGTTTGCCCGGGATGGCTGGTGTGTGCTGACCCCTCGTCCTCTCCCCCTGTGCCTAGGAGACAGGCCGGTTCCCTGCCTACAAGGAGTTGGTGGCCGAGTACTGCTGGCTCAGTCGCTGTAAGCACAACGCTGTGTGGGTACTGGCATGGGTACCGGACTGGGGGCCCCATACAAGTGGCATCTAGCCCCCATGGGGAGGGAGAAGGCCCACATGCCATGGGGTCCCACAGCCTTGGAGGGGGCATGAAGCTCCCTGTGGTATGGTTAGCATCCCACACTCCTCATGGGCTTGCAGGGGCCCTGTCCCCACTCCATGTGGACAGCAACCCCGTGGTCCTGGTGATCCTTCAGGGTCCTACACGTTCCCTGTGCCTGGAGCCTGCTGGTTCCCATAGCTCTGTGGGATTCCACATGTCCATTGTAGGGGTCCCAGGAGTCCCTGTGGCCCTACAGGTCCCCACATACCCGCTGTGCTGGGATGCAGAGCTCCCTGTGACCCCCCAACACGTCACCCCATGTCCCTGCTGTGCCTCCGCAGTGACCAACGGGCAGCTGCAGCAGCTCTCTCAGACCTCAGAGACCAGCTCCTCCATCTCTTCCTACTCCTCGGGGCCAGTGCCAGGGGTGGTGAACGGGCTGGGGACGGCCGCCCCGGGGCCCCCTGCCCGCACCGTGGACGTGGCCATCTCCACGGAGGACGGCCCGCGGCGGAGCTGGGTGCGGGACCGTGCCGAGCGGGCCATGCAGACCGAGCCGGCCGCCGAGGCGCTGCCAGAGATGCGGCGCACGGTGCGGCCCCCCGAGCTGCTGCGGGACACGGCCATCCGGGGCCAGGGCGCCCGCGAGCTCCCCGGCACCCACCCACGACGGACCTTTGCCCACTCGCCCAAGACAGCCCTGCTGCTGGCGCTGAGCCGGCCCCGGCAGCCCATCACACGCTCACAGAGCGATCTCACCGT